AAAGACACTTGAATAATCAAGAGAGCACTGTAGGAGACAATAACAGAATATGTTATTGTAGAGTGTTTGGAAGCAATAATTAATATTGCAAGAAGTAGCTGGCAAGCACCTGAGCTGAAGGGCTACAGTCAGAGGTGGTGGTCTTGCAGCAACTACTTTTTAAGGAATTAGTTAAGTTTTGAGTCTGGGATAAATCTCAGCTTAATAGTAATTCCAGTAAGAAGGTAGGGTTGGATTGGATGAAAAGACTACTCTAAAAGTAGGTGGAGAATATTCACTGTACTTACTAATTGTACTGGGGGTGAATATGCTGAGAAAAAAATCCTAGGCAGGAGAAGGCCTCCTTAAATATTCTAGAGGTCCCCTTGAGGCCCTCCTTAGAATATTCTAGAATCTCACTTTTGGTATACTATGGTAGAATTGTTCCCCTGATGTAATGGGAATAATTCCAGGTATTTCAAATAATGTATATTCTATGTCCCATGACATCATGATGCATGTTTATAGCCAATTACATCATGTGTCTCCTTAAATAGAATATTACTAGTAGAAAGTGCCACACTCTTGACATAGTGTGGTAATTGCTTTTCTACAAGTTTTACTAAATTGATCATGTTTGTAGAATAAAATTTCTAAGGTTACCCTAAATGTATATTTAATCCTAATTTAATATGCATTAATTTTATTCTATAAATTTATATATTTTATTCCTTTTGTCCTTCAAGAGTTTGAATATATACAAAGTCCTTGAAGGAGTGGGAATTTGGGGAAACTTCCAGTGGACAACCCCATTTATCATCTTATGAAATATTGTTTTATTAAATAATATTACTACATATTATATTACATATTGAGTATTTAATACTTAATATTCATTTAGCAGTCTTTTGGATACTCTGGAGTATCTCTAAGGCTGACAGAACCCTTGAAAAAATTGCTGTAAATCTGATTGACCCCCTTGGCCCAGCTGGTGTGAGGTGCGCTGATGCAAGTTGGGCCCCTCTCAAGCTGGCTCACCCAACTCACTGGCTGGGATGCCAAGGAAGAGGCTTTGTTTCACAAACTGGCCTCTATTGCTTGCAAGTCCCCAGTGGTGCCTTTGGAGTATCACTGTGCGCAGGGTATCCAGCTGGTAACTAAGATTTTTCACAGTCTAACTTTGAACCTTGCAAGCTTGAAAAATAATCAAATGAGATGCTCACTTCAGATAGAGTACAACTTGAATGTTGAAGACCCAGCTGCCGTTTTAGGTCCTGGATCTGCGTCACCAAGTCTTTTACTGGTAATACTTGATCAAATAGGGGCTTGCAGCCACATGTGACCGCAAAAACACAACTCAGCATTCACAAGCACCATGGGGTCAAGGTTTGAGCTAGCCAAGCTTTGCAATGTGGCTGTTGATGTCAAACAATGGTTGTGGCAAGGGTTGTGTGATCAGGGATGATAATAAGAAGACTTGTGGCTTAGAATTAAGGATCAAAGATTGTGAGTGAAAATCATCAAATTTCAGAGCCGTCTGGGATGGCGTCCTGGGAAGTCCTGTCGCGCTGGTAGACCTAGTTAAACCAGATCGACTGGGTGACAAGCTCACTGTGGAGCTTTGAGATTTTGATAGGGCGAATCCAGTCAGTGGTGTAGGTACCAAATGTGTAACGGATTTGAGGAAACACAACAGGAGCCAGGTTTGCATTAGGTGATTGGCAAGTAAAATCTGAACATGAAGAAGAAAAATTCACAAGAATCAAAATAAATCATTTCTAATATATAAAGACGTTTTGTTTCGTGGCTTGCTAGATTGGATAGAATAAAGCAACAAGACCGAGTATCCTGGTGAGTTTATCCTCCCTCAATCGGCCAGACTCTAGCAATTGAATCCCATGCAGTCGGTTGAGCTAATTGGGAGAAAACAAAAGAGACAGATAACCAAAATCTGCAATCAGCTGCAATGATTGCTGAGTGCAGACAAGACCAGGAAAAACCAGATGAAGGAGACGGATCCATAGCCCCTGAAAATGAGCAAGTGAGTCGGTGGATGAGGGGAGGCAGAGTTTTGACTGAAAGGTTTGAAAATGATATTGAAAGCTTTGACGTCGGGTGGATAGACCGGAGCAGCTTAAACTGCTCTGGTGATGTATGATCCAAAATTTTCCGTCGCGCCTAGTCATGAGCTGCAAACCAATATTCAGTTGTAACTGTATGCATTCAAGACATTTTGTTTAGGATATTGAGGCCCTGATTGTAAACGGTTTTTTGAAATATATTTGAAAGTTTTCAAAAAGTATTCCAACTTTGTTTTTTTTTCATTTCCGTTTTCTTTCAAAAAAAAACTCAAAAAGTTTCAAACCAGCTCCGGAGGTGGTTTGAGATCTCAAAAACTTAAGGCTGGCACCCGGGGCTTTGGGAGGGGGGTCAAGCCCATCCCGGACCCCACGTCCAAAACCAACCGGGTGGACACCAATCCACCCGGGGTGTTTCAGTTTTTTTTTGAGTGGTCAAGGTCCGAGTTAAGGAGTTGTGATTGAGCATGTTCTGAAGACTAATATACCACCTCAAATCCACATCACCAAGATGCAGCAAATAAAAACCTCAACACCAGCTGCTAATCCCAATCCTGAAAATGTAATCAACATTGATGATGAAGACAAAGTTTCCAGCCAACCTCAATCTCAATCCAATAAGCGCAGTTTTGTGTGGCTCCACTTCAAACAAAATGTGGATGGAACCAAAGCAACGTGTCAAGTTGTGGGTAGGAATAGTAAGATATGTGGTAAAAAATTGAGTAGAGATAGAAGTGGAAGTACTGAAAACTTCCATGAACACCTCCAAAACATTCATAAAATCATTGATCCAAAGCTCAGTCAAAAAGTCAATAAGTCTCAAACAGATATTGGATGATGGACAAAGACTAGTAATCTCAATCCCAATGGAATGTGTGCCCTTGAAAATTTACAGTTGCAGCTCAAGAGTTGCAGCTCCAATTACCATCTTTCAACACCAAAGCCAATCTGTTGGGTTGTATGGCACATGTCATAAATCTAGGTGTGAAAGCAGGTCTTGCGGTTCTAGGAGGGGTTGCAGAGGAAGAAAAGGTTGGTGAAGAAATCTTGATGGCCAATGATGGCTTGGACCAATCTGAATCCTCCAGATCATCCTTCATGTGTATCTCCAATCTGACCTCCAAACCGGATGGAATTCAAATCAACCTAAAAGCAATCATCAAGAGAATGCACTCCATGTGCATCTATGCTTAATGTTGTCCACACCCGCCAGCGGGTGCGGATGGCCCCTTTTCAGCACAGATTACTGGTGGGTATCCGGGTATCCCAAAGGATACCCGCGGCCAGAAGGGCAGATAGCTGGCTGGAAGGGTTTCCTTACGGTTGACGAGGTACATGTACCTTGTTGACTGGAAGGAAACCCTTCCATCCGTCAAGGCACATGTACCTTGACGGCTGGAAGGGTTTCCTTCCGGTTGACGAGGTACATGCGGCTGGAAGGAAACCCTTTCAGCCGGTCCCTCGCCTCCCCTTTAAAGGGCCGGTATCCGTGGATACCCGCTGCAGCCGACGGATACCCGCCAGCGGGTGCAGATGCGGATGTGGATGGCCTAAAATTTTTGGACAGCTGATTCAGTGTTATCAAAGTATATGAATTCAAACTTCATTCATGCTTTCTTTCATCCATGAATACACTCTCACTTTTGTGAGGAAATCAACACTTAGTGAAATAGCCCTCCATATCAAAATTTGTTTCTGTTAATTTTTCACTTTATTTTGCCTGCATGTAACAACGTTGCAGGTTGATTTCACATTTTTGTGAGGCTTGAATGAGAGCAACAGTGCAACAGAAACAATACGAGATGGTATCAGGCATTTATTGGTATTGTCTCAGAATTTGAATACCCAAAAATACCGGATTTGTGTTGTCTCACTTTCCTGAGACAATACACATGTATCATCTTTGAAAAGTGAGACAAGTATTCTGTATTGTCTCAGATGACTGATCCCACCAAAACGGTATTTGATACACAAGATATTTGGCTGTATTGAAGTAGAAAGAAAAAAACAAAGACATTTTTTTCATTTGTAAATCAGAATCCGAGACAATAAATTTTTTCACCAACCAAGAAAGTACTGATACCGGTATCAGGCTCAAAATAAAGATGATCCAATCCGATACAAATACATGTCTCATATCTGTTGCACCGTTGATGAGAGCTCCCTATTTGTCTTTTCTTTCCAATCAGAAAAATCAATCATTGCATACTTCCCACAAATTCAGGTCCTGGTGTTCATTGAGTCAGTCTCAAATCAAGTATCATACAAATCACCTTGTTATCATCCAGATTGTCCTAGATTTTCTGGGAAATAAAAAAAAGTAGAATCCATTGAGTATATTGATTGAAAAATAAAATGTGGCCAATGTGCAAAAATCTTGCTTATTATGGCAGATATTGATTTTTTTGTTTAATATGCTCATTACAGCTCAATTTTACTACTGGCATTTTTTACAGAAAAACTTCACAAGCCCAAAGCAAGTTGTAATTATTTTGTGCTGAAGAGCTGAATAAATTGCAGTAGTTTCAGTGACTGAGTGGTGGACTTCTCATTGTAAATCAGATACCATTGTGACTGCTACCCTCCTAAAAGTTCCTTTGAAAATCCTGATCTCATCACCAAAATTTGTAAAATGACTGCTTTCTACATTTCCAGGAAGTCTTTGAGTATTGATTCACATAATTCATTCCATACAGAAGTTGGTCCCCATAGCTACAAATGATTCAAATAAGTCAAATGTTCGGTGGGTACTATGATTTTTGGCCTTTCTTGCTGTCTTGGTGATTATCAATGGGGAAAATCAAATTGGGCACATTGTTTTTTTTTTTTTTTCAGAATTGATGAAAAGAAGTTTATATTTTAGAAGAATTGGCCAGAAAAAATGTATGTTCTATCTGCAGGTTTTGCTCCAGAAACTGAGAAAGTGAAGAAATATGTATGAATTCAGACAAAATGCCACTGAACCTATGAAGACCAGAAACCATCAATGTGAGGATCTTTACTTTGAGGTTTGCTCATTCTGTGGTTGTGACATACATTCAATACACCCTGAGATAATGGCCCTATTGCCTTGAAAACGGCGGGTGATAGATCAAGGGAGTCGTTCTTACACGACGGACATTCTGCCATCAAAAGGTGCACAAGCTTTAGTACATATTTTCTGGGAATTGGAAGAGTGATCAAAAGCCCAGCTGAGAGTTTAACTGACCATCATCCAATAGACAGTCAACATGCACAGAGCCGTGATAAATTCTAAGAGACTTGCCACATTTCTTTCCCTGGTCGAAGACTGATGCACTAGCAGCACAAACCATTTCTGAACTCGCATGATGCCCACCACAAGCGGTTTGCGCACCGGTGGCCAAGTCATCTTCAAACGTGTGTTTATTTGAGGTTCATTTGATTCAAAGGGATGAGACATTTTCCGCGTTATTTCTTGCCTTCTTGATTCTCCTGGAGAAACTAAACAAATTGACATACAGTAACGAGCCTCTCCGACAGTAACGGCCTTTCGGGATTGATGTTTGAAATGCGGCCCAGTCGGCGAACACCACGCGTCATTGGCCAGGGTAAGCGTGAAAGGAAGGAGTACTGTCCAAAGCATCTGATATCCGTCACTGAGGAATCCGAGTAAGCCAACAAAACATAAAAGCTGGAAGGAGGTGCCGCTAGTGTTAGGTATATTTTTTGGGGGCAATCTCGGCTGATGGGTTTAGGCAGCAAAGTGGCCTTTTTATTTCTGACAGAAGCACCTGTGAGCCATACTTGAAGATTGATAGGAATTTCTCCAGTGTTTGGTGAACTCTGCAAACTTCGCATATGGTTCAACTAGTCCGTTCATGTTGAGAGGCTAGCAGCCGCTTCGAATGGTTTGTATGTAGTCCGGTCCATCGCAGAAAGTAAAACAGCAACTGCGCTGCATTGGTGAATTTGTAAGGAACTAAAATATTGATCGACTCGTTACGAAGCGATGTTGAATGCTCATTGATCAGGCCGACGCCGAGGAGGCAGGCCAAGGCATACATACCCATCTGCACTGACGATCCCGGTCGTCCGCCCACTCAATTTTCGCGTCATGTAAAGATGATCCTTCGCATACTTGAGACACGATAACTCTGAGGCACCGAGGGCGGGCCTTTAACGGAACGTCGGACGGCTGGATGCAGCGTTCCGTTGGCGCGGGCGTCCTCACAGAAGGGCTTGATAGAGCTTGAAAGGTTTTTTGTCGGCAAAGCCAACTCTTGAATCTATGCGGGCAGCGACATGCCCTGGACTCCTGAGCCACATTTCTCAAACCACCACAGACACCTAATTGCTGAGAAACCCATCAAGAAAGAGTTGTGTGCGAATAGTGGATTCAGTTCCACCTGGAGGTTGGTGTGGATGTGATCTTGGCATTACTCCGGAGACACGTGTCACATGGTGTGTATGTAGCGGGGCCGGGGATGTATGTAGCGCATGTATGCGGTCGGGACCCGGGGCATTCCCCCCGGTGGTACGACGAAGCCTGCTTGGACGAGCTTCTTCCCCATTGAAGACGGATTAGGTAATAAACCAATGTGGCACACAACACACACACCGACAACAATTACCTTGTTCGAACAAACGATGAGCAGAGGAAGATAGTTTAGGTCGATCGGGAAACAAGAGAAAAGCAGTCGATCGCAGCCAAGGTCAAACATGAGCTCACCGAGCAAGCCGACCGACACCGAACCCAGGCCACGCTTCAACCATACGCCGGACTATCTCAGCAACTGGAAGGAAGATCTGTTCGGAGATGGCTTGCCATTCTACG